GCGCGGGATTACAGGCTGAGCCACCGAGCCCGGCTCCTACCTGTATCTTTAAAGTGTTTTTAAACATATAGTTTAGGCATTTAGAAAATATATTTTAGACAATCTTTGTCTTTTAATTGGATTGATTATTCCATTTACATTTAATGTGATTGTTATTATGATTGGAATTAAATGTATCATTTTACTACATGCATATTTTCCCTGTCTCTTTGTCTCTCCTTTTCTCATTTCTTCCTTTAATTCTTCTTTGAATTGAGTACTCTTTATGCTTCAGTTTTATCTATTTTGTAGACTTTTTAATACAAACTGTCATTTTATTTTAGTAGTTGCTTTAGGTTTATTGTATACATATTTCACCTTATTTAAATCTATTTAAAGTAATGTTGGCAGGGCTCGGTGGCTCAGTCTGTAATCCACACTTTGGGAGGTCAAGGTGAGTGAATTGCCTGAGCCCGTGGGTTCGAGACCCGCCTGGGCAACTTGGCTAGACCTCATCTCTACAATAAATCAAAAAATTAGTTGGGCATGGTAGCGGGTGCCTGTAGTTCCAGCTACTTGGAAGGCTGAGGAGGAAGGATCGCCAGAGTCCAGCAGGTCAAGGTTGCAGTGGCCAGGAGTGGCCACTGCACTCCAGTCTGGGCGACAGAGTGAGACTCCAATTAAAATAATAATAATAATAAATAAAGTAATGTTGTACCACTTCATATATTGTTTTGGGAGCTTTAATGAGCATATTTCTGTACTTTGTGCTGTTGACTTAATAGCTTTTACTTCTACATAGGCTATAGACTCCACAATACATTCTTATTTTTATTCTTTACAGATAACTTTCTTTTAATGATATTTTAATTTAAAAAGTCTATTTATTTCATGTGGTTTCCATTTCTAGTGATTCTGTTTTTGTTTATGTAGCTCTAATTCCCATCTACTATCATTTCCTTCTTCCTAAATAACTTCTTTAATAATTTGTATTGTAGGTCTCATGTTAGTGTCATGATTATATATTTTAAAAATCAACATTCTGCCTTCCTTTATGAAAGATGAAGAGTTTAGCTTTTGACTGAAAAGCTATGTGTTATTTTTCAGGCCCAATCAAGGCAATTCAATAGTTTTACCTGTCTGGACTCTCTGGAAACCACCCCCCTCTTCACTTGAGATTAGGTGCACAACCAGTTCATTGCTTTCTCTGAAGGGAATTGCAGTCAAGGACACAGTCCCTTCTGTCAGGTTATGCCCTTCTCATGTGTACATTGCTTGCTCCAGTGCTTTTATTGTCAGGAACTTTTATCTGTGGCCTTGGGCAGAGGTCTTTCTCAAGCACCTCTGCCGAGGCCTTTTTATTGGCAGGAGTAGGTGAAATCTTGATACATTGTCTTTTACTCTAATAAGGTACCATTCCTTTTTCACTCCTAACATTCCTTTTATCCTCCCGATTACCCTAGAGTCCATAAAATAAATGGTCACGTTTTTTATTTATTTGTTTATTTTTTGAACTCTCCCTTTACAATTAGATGAACCCCATGTTCGCCCTGATTCTAACTTTTCGTGAGTGTACTGTTCGTGGAGGAAAATGAAACAGGGAGAGGCAGCATTTTCTTAGGTTTTACACTCTTGCTTATGCCATTGCCATAAGCAACTAATGGCTTAAATCATTCACTTTTTTTACTTGTTGCTTTAACAAACTGCTTCAAATTTAGGACAGCTCTTTCATTTCAGCAGAACGCTTTACAACAATTACTTGGGTTGAAAAATGCTCAGGTGGCATTGATTTCTTTTTCATTTCTATACTTCAAAAATATCTCTCCCCTGTCTTCTGGCTTGTATTATTTGAGATGAGAAATCTTCTTCCATCTTCATCTTTGTTATTCTATATATAAAACACGTCCTTTCTCTGGCTACATTTCAGTTTCTCTTTTTGTTAATAGTTTTGAGTAATTTAATAATAATGTGGCTTGAAGTTGGAGGTCTTAGGAGGTCTTACTCTCTCTGTCACCCAGGCTGGTGGCACAATCATGGCTCAACCAAAACCTCAAACTCTTGTGTTCCAACTGTCTTCTCGCGTCAATCTCTCTAGTAGCTGGGACCACAAGTGTGTACCAATATGCCCAGCTAAACTTTTGTTGTTGCTGTTGTCTTGCTTTTGTTTTTGTAGAGATGGAGTTTTTGCTAGGTTGCTCAGTCTGGTCTCTATTTTTGACCTCAAGGAATCCGTCTGCCTTACTCTCACAAACTGCTAAAATTGGTGATATAAGCCACCAATCCCTGCCCTAGCGCGGTGCAATACAATGTTTGTGCTTGAGTTTTGTTAAACTTCTTGTATCTATGGGTTTCTAAACTTCATTGGTTCTGTACACTGTAATTATATATATATGTAAATATATATACATGTAAAATATATATGTGTGTGTGTGTGTGTGTATGTTGAAACTTGTTTCACAATTCACAGATACTTTTAATCACTTTTAATTTTTGAATCATTTTTTCTCTCTGTTTTTTTACAGATGGTTTATATTTCTGTCTTCAGTTTCACTAGTTTATTGGCCGTGAGTAATATGCTATTAATTATATAAATGGCATTTTTTGTTTTGGTCCTTTTTTGGTTTATAGAGTCAAGTTATGCTCTTATAGTGTGTTTTTATCACAACCATTATAGTTTTCTACTCTAAGTTTATTTGAATCTTTTTCATGTTTTCAAGTTTTTCTCTGACTTCTTGAACATCTAGAATATACTTTCAGCATCCAAGTTTGTCAAAGATGTCATGCAGTAGAAAGCACACAATGTCAGCTATAAGTTTTTTTTCCCCCAGATTTCTCAAATTGCAACTAGTCAAGCTTCTACTAATTTATAAAAAATACAGATGATAAAAAAATCATTGAATCACACCACTGTGATGCAGTTAGCAAAATTAAGAATGTGGAACACTCTAGAGGATAATGACTTTGACATATACATAGAAAGGAAAATTAAAAATGAGAGAGAAAACCTATAGACTAAATAAAACTTAAGAACTATTTCAACAAACTGTATTGTGTGGACATATATGATTTCTAATTCAACATGTTTGGAGATTTTTTATTTAAATTTGAACACTGAATTATATTAAAACTTTTATTCTTAATTTTTAAGGTTTAATTTGGAGTTTTAAAAATGTATACACACATACGTACATAGCACTTTAGGCTAGTGTATGTGTATATGTGTGTGCCTTGACTGGTTAAAATAATACGTCATTTGAAATTTGTTTTAGTGTAAAAAAGTAGGTGTGTGTATAGATGGCAGAAGATTGGCATGTGTTGGTAATTTTTTAAGTTGAGTAATGATATCTAGGTGTTCATTACCTTATTACCAATGTTGGTATATAATTTTCCAAACTTTCAAAAAATACCTTTCTCATGTAAAAAGCAAACAAAAAGTCTATACTTATTCCAAATATTATTCACCAGCTTTCAAAAGTATATTTTTAGCATTTTCTAAAGAACAGATACTACCTGAATTACAAATATCGAATATAAGGATAATATTCATATATAATTTTCACCTCAGCTGAATTTCTTTATGACCTTCATTAGGTAAACTTGTAGCAAGGAATACACCTGCTTGAAGAGACTACGCAGAAACTGCAGAATCCCTGTGTTCCTTCTTAATTAAGCGTTTTTAACAACTCATCTTAATAAGAGCCAAGAACTAAAAAAATCTCCAAGGGTTCATTGAAAAACACATAGAGAAGATTCAAAACATGATCACGCAGAAAACCTCCTAACATGAACTTTATGGTTTTTCTGTTTTTATATGATATTAAACTGTACAAAATTATTTTTTCATGAAGTCAAATAAATAAATCTCATTTTGATCTATTCAGATGTGGGAAACGCAAAGCTATTTGGTTACATAAAAGGTAAATGGAACATTTTAATGTAAAACTCAGTAGGTCAAATTTTTTTAACATTTAAACACTAGAAGATACTTTTCTTTTTTTTTTTTTTTTTTTTTTTGAGTTGGAGTCTCACTCTGTCGCCCAGACTGGAGTGCAGTGGCCACTCCCGGACACCGCAGCCTCGCCTGCTGGGCTCCAGCGATCCTTCCACCTCAGCCTTCCAAGTAGCCGGAATTACAGGCATGCACTACCACGCCCAGCTGATTTTTTTATTTATTGTAGAGATGTGGTCTCACTGCCCAGGTGGGTCTCGAACCCGCGGGCTCAGGCAATCCACTCACCTCAGCCTCCCAAAGGCGCGGGATTACAGGCTGAGCCACCGAGCCCGTCTAGAAGATACTTTTCATAACCATCTTACATATTGTAAACATGGGACCATTTTACCCAGAAAGTATAATTTTGTATTTATTGTCTAAAAATGGTCTTTTACTTGTTTTTGTTGAGATAAAAAATGCTTCTTTCCTATAGCTCTCAAATTACAAATTGGTAAATATCTTCCACGGTCATTATTTTCAGGGTGTTTTATAGTATTGGTATAACTGATTACTAAATCCCCTGGCTTTAAGCTGAATTATCCTTTTGTTTTTTTTAATTGCTACATAAAATATCATACGTTGGGAAATTGGATGAGAAAGCTTTTTCTATCAAGTAAAAAGAGGAGAAATATATGGCTTTTTTTTTTCCTTCTGGCTTGACTGCTGCTTTAATAAGATAGTTTGAGTTTTACTACGATAGAGAGGAGAAAGTAAGCAAGTCAAATTAAAAAAAAAAAAAGCTATCTCAATGTCAGCTGTCAATCAAAGAGATTCCCAGAGCAATTTTCAACCTTCAGGCAGATTTATGACTGAAGCTTAAAACAAACAGTGCCTGTGTGGAAATGTATAATTATTCTAACCAAATTATTGCTGATCTACAAAATATGATTAAGTAGCTTAGTGGGAAGATACATTAAATGTATATTTTTATTTCCTTTTTTAGATGCAAAAGTTATAATTTGTCATTAGTAATTATGTGAGAAAATGTTATTTTTAAATGTGAAATGTTGTTTTGTTTCTTATGCTGTAGGAATATAAAAGATACCCAAGAGTAAAAAAGATTATAAAGCAACACAAGATTTTTGCTTGTAACATCCTGTTTCCTCTGAAGAGTAACACTTGGAATCAAAAGAGTCATCAAAATGAAGTGTTGTTTACTGCTGCCTTTTATGTTGGGAATTCTTCTCCTATGGCCTTACTTGACTGCAACAGAACACTCCAAAACAGAAGTTAAGCAGTCAGAGGGATTTCATTCGAGAGTGAAGCGTGGCTGGGTGTGGAACCAATTTTTTGTGCCAGAGGAAATGAATACAATTTATCGCGTTGGCCGGGTACTTATTTTCTACAAGTGTTACAGTCAATAGCAGGAAAATGTAAATAAATAAGTTGAGAAAATTTTGGGATATGGAGGATTTCACATTTTTTTTTTCAGTAAACACTATTAGAAAGCCTCGACATTGGCATCATTGTTTCAGATTTATAAGGACATAAAGCATCCACTAAAAGCTGAAGGAGAAGGGACAGCCTGGTTTTTAAATTTCACTTTAGTCACCTGTATGAAAATGCAGACCTCATTTGCTGACGTCTGGAAATTCAGTGGTGTTATTGTTGATAATGGATCAAAGCAGCCACACCAAGACAAGTATCACTTGCCAACAGTATTTAGCCTGATTTTCTGTTATGCTAAGTAGCTGTTGATTTATCTTTCATTCATTTTTAATAGAGCAGATTAATACAATATCCTTTAACAGTTAAGTAGCTTCAGGAAACTATACGCTTTATTTGATTAGTAACATTAAAGTACAAGGAGTAATTAGTTTCACTTTCTTAGAGGAATATATTTTAAGAACAATTCCTTAATGAGACAAAACACCCTCTATTTATGTTTTTGGTTTTTATTTTATTATTTCATTTTCTTTAAACAAGGGTAATTACAATATCATGTCCTTTCTGTAAGGCTCTTTCCTTAGATGAATGCCCTGAAATAAGTTTAACCACTAATTAACTGGCACTAAAATTTAATTGGGCCCAAAGGGTGAAGCACTCAAAATTTATTAACTCTCTTTTTTCTAGCCTTTCAGGAGAGCTGCAGTGTTAGCATGGTGTCTGGATTTCACAGAAGTTCACCTATCCTATCAGCCAGATGTATATGTGTACTTTCAATCAAAGGTTTAGGTTAAGATTGTAGACAAACATTTAAAAATATGTGAGGGGTGTGGGTGTGTTTGTGTATGAGTACAGACACACCAACTACAAATAGTATCTATCATTCCTTTTTATTTTTTTAGAATGAGTACAGGTCAGTCACATGCTTGGATGACAATAATGAGCAGTTAAGTGTTGGTTGGGCAACTGTGACTCTCTAGCTACATTTACAATGGACTCCACAGAGCACCATATGCTCTCCCATCATGGAACATGGTGACAGGCTAAGATCAGTTGGCGACTTTTAGTAAATAAGGCGTTGCAGGGAAGTGTATCAGTGTAACTGGAACAAAGACTGCCTCTGGGGCCATCACATTTTCTAGTTTGTTCCTTTCTGTACTCCCTACACAAATCTTCTGTTACCTCATTCGCATAGTGATTGGCTTTGCCTATTTTTTCGTTCTATAAACATATTTATGAACATATTCTAACAGATGTTTTCCCTTTAACAAATGCTTTAAGCTTAATTAACATACATATGACTGGTTTAAAAGAGAAAAATAATGAATGTTAGGTGCTTTTGATTAAAAGGTGAATAAAGATAAAGTGTAGCTGATGTGCCCAAGATAACTCTCTCTTTGTTCTATTTTTTTTTAAGTATTAAGATTGAGAAGTACAATGAAGAGAACATTTACAGTGATAAGAATTTGACAAATTGATAACAGCAGCCTAATTGAGAAAATTTTAAAGATAAATTTAGAAAATTTTATAATATTAGAGTCCGTTTGACTGAAGTATGTTTAACATATAGACTTTGTGACATGAAGAGGCAGATATTAAAGTAATCTTTCCTGATTTAAATTTTTTTCTCCTTAAATGTGGGTCTATAAAATATCAAGCTGAGTGATCTTTTAAATTTACTCCATGAATATACTTGTCATACACTAATGTTTTACTAAATTTAATATATCTTACCTATTATTAAATTAATTCTGTTACCATATAGCATTTAAAAAATAGAGACCATGTATTTCTTGTTTGATATCTTGACCCGTTCATTTATTTTCCCCATTTTCTTAATATTATGGCATAGACAGTTCTTTTTATTTTATGAATAATTAAGGATTATCAAATTAAATGAACTATGAACAGAAAGTAAACCTGGGTGTTATTTTTCTGTTTGTTTCATTATATAGCACTGTGATTCAGCACATTATTAAAATGTTAAAATAGATGTTATAGATATCTTTAGATTTTATTTATAATCACATAAAATGTATTAATTTGGCCCTATTAATAAATTACAACTTGGACCATCAGAAAAATTATAATTTTATGAGTTTTCTTGTGGTAAATTGTGTAAAGTTTCAGAGGAGCTCTTTCTTAAAAAAAGAAAATGCTCATAAATTGTATACCTGAGGTAGTGAGTATGCATAAAACCCAGACTTTTTGGTACTACAAAATGTAACCATGTAACCAAAAACCATTTGCATCCTCTAAAGCTGTTGACACATGAATTCACAGTGATTAAGGCATGGCACGCTTCTCCTTTAATGTACAAATAATTTAGATTTGAAAAACCATGAAACTAATTTACCTATATAAAAATTATACGTTTATGTTACCGATAAATTTAGAATTCTAAATAATTACACCACATTGCGAATGATGAAAAAATGTACTTTGTTCTTTAAAAAATGAATGCACAGGAATAAAATAAATATTTGAGAATTAATTAATGTTAGATGAATAGTTTTGTGAATAGTTTAATGCATTCTGGCTAAAAACCAAGGGCTAAGGAACATGCTATTTAGTTCTCAGGAGAGAATCTGGGATTAGAAAGTCTCATGGGGTGAATCATAAATGTTCACAAAACCATGAAATGCTGGAAAGATTTTTTAAAACTTTCAGAATCTCACTTTTCTTCTCTATATAAATATCTATTGCATAAATAATACATATTTCATAATGTCATAAGGAATATTTGAGAACAATAGAAAGCAATTTATGGATTATATGCTATGTAATAAATATTAAGTGAAAGTTTGAGATTATTATAATTTCATATGCTCCCTAACTTCATCCTAATATTTCCATGTTCTCTATGTGTTTTCAGCCAAGAAACATCACTATTAAAATATACATAGATTATCGTCCTATTTGTCTCTAGGTCGCAATCTAATATATATATTAGAATATATATAAATATATTCTTTCTCCAAAATTGTTTTCTTTTTTCTTTTTCTTTGAGTTGGAGTCTCACTCTGTCGCCCAGACTGGAGTGCAGTGGCCGGGACCTGCTGGGCTCCGGTGATCCTTCCGCCTCAGCCTCCCAAGTAGTCAGAACTACAGGCGCACACTACCACGCCTGGCTAATTTTTTATTTATTGTAGAGATGACGTTTCGCCAAGTTGCCCGAGCGGGTCTTGAACCTGCAGGCTCAGGCAATCCACTTGCCCCTGCCTCCCAAAGTACTGGGATTACAGGCTGAGCCGCCGAGCCTGACCAAAAAATTGATTAATTTCATTTTAACAAAGTGGGGTTCAATTCACGATTAGGTATACAAGTGGTCATCGTACAGGTAAAATTTGGGCCTACCCCTGGTCCCCACTTTGTCTGGAGTGAGGGCCTAATATTTATATTTAAGGGTATAGCTTTAGTGACTAAGAATATAATCATAAATCAAATTTAAGCCAACTATGTGCATAACTTATGAAAGAGGCTTTTTTTCCCCAATTATTACATTTTCTAAGTAGAATTATCTATTTAGAATAATAAAACTTGTATAGAATTTTTTACATTCATGACTCAGATTATTCCTCTGCCTGGTGATAAAATTTAATATTATATCTTCATAAGATATTTACTTATATATAAATTTTAACTTGGGAAATAATTAACATGCATGAAAATAAGATCATTAAATTTGATTTGTCCATTTCAGATGTCTGGAAACTAAATTATCTTCTTTGCACTTGCAGTTAAGATCTGATTTAGATAATGGAAACAATTCTTTCATGTACAAGCTTTTGGGAGCTGGAGCTGGAAGTATTTTTACCATTGATGACAGAACAGGTGACATATATGCCGTACAGAAGCTTGATAGAGAGGAACAATCCCTCTACATCCTAAGAGCCCAGGTAATAGACATCACTACTGGAAGGGCTGTGGAACCTGAGTCTGAGTTTGTCATCAGAGTTTCGGATATCAATGACAATGAACCAAAATTCCTAGATGAACCTTATGAGGCCATTGTACCAGAGATGTCTCCAGAAGGTATTGCATATTAAATTACATAAAAATATATTAACAATGACAACAGGGTTAAAATTTCAAGCATATGTTTTAGAAGTGGTTATTTAAGGTTCTATCCTAGTTCTTCATGGTGCAAGTATATTTAAGACATTTTAAAAATTAGACAAAGCATTAAAATTTTGTTAAAAAATGGTACTATGCATTAAAAATTGCGTGTTGTTAAAATGGCATCACAGTCTTCAAAGCAATAAAAGGTTACTCATATTTATTTGAGCAATTCATAACATATTTTAACTTGCCTATTTACCGTTTCTTAAATATTAGAACTTTTTTTTTTCAAAACAGAATATACTTTTGTATATCATATATCAATACAAGTAGCAAGTATGTGGGCTTGTCAATGGGTTAGATTCCTTTGCCAGACAATATGTTAATAGCTAGAGAAGAGAAGAACATTGAGGCTGATTTGACTGTTAGGTAAAAGTCATTTGGTTGGCAAACTAGAATGAATGGGATTGGCCAGTCATGTAGAAGGAAAAAGAGAAAGAAGAGATCCTTCAACATGAGAAGAGATGTTGCCAGAGAAGAGATCCTTTGACTGTGTAGAATGCTGCTGTGAGGTTGACCAAAATTAAGACAGGGTAGTGACATTTCATTAGGTAAATTGAAGGTTCTTGACTTTTTTTTATTTTCTGGTTTGAGGATAGGTGTTATTTAAACCAGGAGAAACATAGTTTTTGGTTTCTATTTGGTCTTTTGTTTCTCCAGAAAATGGCTGACAATTTCCTTCCTTCCTTTGGTTCAATTTTTTTCTGTGACAGCATGCTGGAGAATATTCTATGGCAATAAAAGTAAGGAAAAGAGGAAGTAACAGTGAATTAAACAAACTTTAATATTATTTCTATTCCTATGCACAGGGAGGAAATAAGATGTGAGACACTGGGTAGAAAAAGATGAAGGGCATGAGGATTTTTTTGTGTCACTTTTTTCATTAAGATGGGAAATTAAATAGCGCAGTTACTACTATTTGGAATTACCCAAGAAAAGAATATTTTTGAAGAAAAAGGAAAAGTATATAACTGCTGTAGTACTCTTCTTGAAAAAATAAAGGGTTGTGGGATCCAGGACACTGAGAGAAGAGAAAGATTCAAAGTTAACTTATTGGTTCATAACAAGTCAGTTAATCAGTTTGTTTCTTTTTTATCAAATAAGTATAATAAAGAAGGTTTAACTGAGAGCAAAGGAGTAGAATATTAGAGAAGAGAGATACAAAAGAGTCATTTGACATAGTTGAATAGTGAACCCACAAAGGAATTATTGATATCATGGTGTCAGTACAACCCCACTGGAGGTGTTTTGATGGAGGTTACAAAACACAGTTTGGAGATGCAGTATCTGGCTACCCCAGATCTCTTTGAGCACTGCAATTTGAGATTCATGTACAAATTATCTATTCAATCTGTATAAATCAATACATCCTTTGGGAGTGCCAGTTAGCGTTTAGCCTTTGTAGAGAATCGTGTAAAATCAATTTTATACATTGTCATGGGAAAATAGGGACAACAGAGTGAGGTTAGTGTCTGTCAGAAAGTTGTATAATATAGAAATGAGAGAATATTTCTAATTTCCTGTCAACACTTTTGCCAATGGTTTCCCTCTGAAGCATTCCTGAATTTGTGTGGATTTTGATTTGAGGCAAAAAAAAAATCAATTAAAAATTATTTGTGATTTCTGGTTTTCCCTCACTTTCAATATTTAATTAATGAACACTGTATATTATTTTTCTTAAATGTACCTTTAATTCTTTACTTTTTTCTACGTCTGTAGCCATTCATAGGGTTCTTGATTGTTGACCTTGATTCTGAATTCTTTATCCACCTATTTTCTTCTGTAAAAATCAAGCAGTGCAAATGCTTTATTGTTTATTATCTTTCTTATAGGCATTTCTGCCTTATTGCACTGAAATGCCTATTATTACATTTGAGTCTGCACTTTGAACTTAGAATTTGGTTTGAATTACTAAAAGAAAACCTCCTTTCAGTGTGTCATGAGGAAAGAAAACCAAGAAAATTACAAACTATTTCTTTTTTAATATGCATTTATTTCCAAGCAATTGGAGGCTTTTGCAGATTGCATTCATGTTTGAAATGCAATTACTTTCAAAGTAAAATTTTCAAGTAATATTGAGACGAAATATGTTTTACCACTTGTCACTTTGGATTTGCAAAATTATTATCTCTCTTCCATACAAAGTTATCAGATTTATAAGGCCACGAGTCACTGAATGCCTGATGTTTGGAATGATTAAATAAATAAATGAATGACTACATGGATGAACAAAAATGGTCCATGAATAATTAAACTGGCTTAAGATATAAATAGAGGATACAAGAAGATATAAAATTCTGGTAAATTGTTCTGACATTTTCAAAGGCAAGAGCTTCATATTCATTTTTATGCCCTTTTAATTGCATCTAAATAGGAGCCTATAAGATTGATGGTTTTCCCTTTACTAATAGTTATTTATTTTTGCCTACAACTTTAGCATTTGAATAGGAGCTTTTAAATTGAGCTGTGTTGGTTAACGAATAGTTAAGCCTCCATTGACTGAATAGCTCAATATTAATCAATAACTCTACCAAGAAGTATTTATTATAAACATGTAATTTTTTTTTTTTTTTTTTTTTTTTTTGAGCTGGAGTCTCACTCGGTCGCCCAGACTGGAGTGCAGTGCCCGCTCCCGGCCACCGCAGCCT